AAAAAAAAAAAAAAGAAAGAAAAGAAAAAGAAAAAAAGAAATTGTCATTGCAGAGCAGAAAATGGAGAGACTCAGGGAAGAACAGCCAATCAGGTAGAACAGGGCCATGGGTAGCGTGGGGGAAGGGCCAGACTTTGATATTTCTGAGACCAAACTGGCAGTCTTTAATCTTGGATGTGGTGGTGGTGACAGTGGGGGTGAATGGCAGATAGTGAGCCCTGTCACTGAAGCCAGACCCCACTGAGATGACTGACAATTATGCAAATTATTGTTGGGTTTCGCCATCCTGTTCCCATTCTCCCTTTCACTGGCTTCTACTCCTCAAACTTGATATTCACCATATGGTTTTATTCTAAGCATGGATGGAGCTTTCGGAGAGGAAAATCTCGTTGCTCTTTATTGCAGCCATTAAAAATAAATCGTAAGGGGACGCATGGCAGATCCTCAGCATTTGTATTACATTTGCTTAGCTTAAGTGCTCGGAGCACATCACGACATACAGGTGCAAAAACAGTCCATGTCTGGCTAGAATTTGGCAGCAGGTTTAATCATCATCATCTGTGAAATAAAAGGCTTTTTGTAACTCAGTTGATTAACACAGAACCACATTTCTTTAAGTGGTCCTTTCATTTTTAAAAATGCTGAAATGAAGAATCATGGCTTGTGAACATGTAACTAAAAAAGAAGGAACGTTTTTTCAGTAGTTCAGCACTTTTAAAAGGCACAGCAGGGCTGACCCTGGTAGACTGTGAAGCCTGGAAAACATCCTCTCCCAGCTGCCCACACTTCCTGCCCCCTGCAGGGCTCTGTCTCAGGCCTGGTTCCCCTGGGCTGAAGCGAGAGCTCAAGAGATGGCTGAGAAATGCTGGGTGTTGAGGCTTCGGTGATGGCCAGGCATGACGGCTGTTCCACCTCCTCTGTGAGTGCCTTGTGACGGGGTGAGGGGAGCGGAAGGGGAGGGAGGTGGAGGTGGTGTCCTGTCTGGTGCACAAGGAAGAGAGAACTGTCAAAGTAAGATCAGTGCTGGGTTCTCCATCGAAGATAATGGGCTTAGGATCAGTGTATTAAGAGCTTCTGGTGACATGACAGAGAAACCCAGAAATAGAGCCAGGACAACAGGTACACTGGTGGCGAAATACTGCCAAGAGGCTTAGCTTCCCCTTAAAGGCAACACAGAGCTTCCCAAATCCAGTGTTATGACAAAATGCATTGAAATTCCCTTGAAAACACTACAGTAATAAACTCATAAAACAATGTGTGATTAATTGGCAAACTTTTCTAAAGATAATGTTTTTGGTGATGGTGGGAACTGGCCTATGCTACAAGTGTAAATTACTATAATCTCTCTAGAAAAAAACGTTTGACTACGCAATTTTACTGCTATAAGCCATGTAAGGAAATGTGTAAAAAAAAAAAAAAAACACAGAGATATAGAAGCAAAGATGTTCTATACAAAATTACATTTTGAAAAAATTTGAATATAAAATGTGAAGTACATTGGTGAAACAGATTATGGCACTTTTATGTTAAGGAATATTAGCCATTATAAATCATATTTCAGAAGACCCTTTAATAACATAGGGATACGTTCATGATTATGTCATTAAGACCATAGCAAGTTTCTTTTTTTTTTTTTTTTGAGACGGAGTCTCGCTCTGTAGCCCAGGCAGGAGTGCAATGGCCCGATCTCAGCTCACTGCAAGCTCCGCCTCCCGGGTTCATGCCATTCTCCTGCCTCAGCCTCCCGAGTAGTTGGGA